TGGAGCAGAAGCTTGAAATTCAAACAATCTATCAAATGTTTATATCGTTATACATCAGGTATACCGACCTCAATTTTACCAAATCAAACCAAGAAAATATAGGTTCTCCCCTTTTTATTCGATTTTCGATTTATTTTATTTACCGACTATGAATTTCTGATTTGAGTAGAGATTGCAACACTAAATTCCTTATAGGGTGAGTTCACAATTTTGCGGTCTACATGAGTTACATTCTGCTTCCACAACAATTAGTCTTCTAATTTTTCTTCAACACCCATCCTTTTATCTAACTCTGTTGGAGGCTAATAGAGATTAAACAAACAACAAACTACCTTAAGTTGATGACATGATGGTTAACCTTAAAATACACATATCTCTTTTTCTGAAAATTGGCACGGACTAGCACGAATCAACAGGCAAGTTGGTAAATTATTTTTTGTCATTGATGTTATGATAAACAAAGTCGTGCTATCATATGAATGGATTGTTGGTGTTCTGTGGTAATAGGAAGTTCTACTTTTAAGTTTACAGGCTAGCTTCCTGGTACGTATGAATGACAAGACTCAAATTGGACATAGAAGACGGTTTCCATGTTCTAAGGTATGAAACTTACCTTTAATATGTCTCTCATTTTTCTTGATTTTGGTCTCTGCATTATTAGATAATATAATGTATCACATGAAAATTGACGAGGGTCATAAATGTCTAGCATGTATTGTTTGCATCAGACGGTTTTGGTTGAGCTTTAGTGGTGGAGTAGCAATTCTATTCTGAATTTATTGCCTTTAAACCTTCATGCTCTAGAGTACTGTAGATCAGGTGGACCTCAATAGGGATCTTCTCTTTTCCCGTGACACATTTCTGTTTTTGAGGCGATCTCTTTTTCTCAATCTGACCATTTATATCTACTGATTGTTGAACCCAAAAAAAAAACTTTAAAATATCTATTGATTGTGTTCGCCATGTCCAGTGGTTTAACATTTTTAGAGCTTCGCCTTTATGCATTCTAAGCTAACATAATATTATGT